AAAATAAATTCTCATAAAAAGTAGTTATAGAACTATGGGAGATATACACTAACGAGCTTTTCATCCATCCGTGTCTGCAATTCTTCTTCACTTGTGTCGATGTCTACGAAGTCCTCTTCGTAGCCCCCCACCGAAGTATCAGCGCTCTTCGAAACCCGTTGCCCAGAGTGGGTCAATGTCGTTGCCCCCTTCTGTTCCAGTTCTTCTTCTTCATCTGAGCCGAATTCTGCAGAGCTACTGTATTCACTCCTCTTAGCTCTTGAAGATTCAGTTTTATTGGAATTTACGTCGTTACTATCATAACCTGTGCAGTCAACACTCTGCATCAAAGGGAGGGAAGACTCGATCTTAGGGAGTGGCTCTTTTGAAGTCATACCAAGTTGTGGTGTTTCCCAGAAATTGCCGGTATTGGTGGTATACTCTGGAGGTCGCAAAAGCTGCCTCGAAGTCGATGCTTCAGATGATTCCGAGGTGATTGTTCGTTTGAGATTTAGCTGCAATTCAATGGGCAACTGAAAATGTCTGGACTCACGATCAGCAAACTTTAGATTCTTGTGTGCCAAAGGATCAGCTCTGATTAAAGCGCAAGATGATTGGTCTTTTGCTAGACTTGAAGCATGAGACGTCTGGCCAGTGTCATTAACTTCTATTTGGAGGGAGTCTATCTTGTCAGGACGTAGCTGTTGCAGAACTGCCCGAGTAAGTCGACCGTTGGATACCTGGAGGAACAAAGATAGATGTTATGCCTTCATGCTTAATTAATTTGGTTACTCGTAAAAATCGGCAGTTTCCAAGCCAACAAACCGTTTCGCCTCAACCTAATTTCTAAAACCACTTGAGTAGAGGTCCAGAAAACTGCTTTTTTAGAGAGACCTCTCTCAATTCAAGCAGTGCTCGACCTGAGCAATTAGCTGATTCAATAGGTCTCCTTTCGCTTATTATGCTTTTTAAAATATAGCATTTCTGCGCAAGCTATGATGTAGGAGATTCAGTTGAAACACTTTATCAATAATCGAAGTTAGGAAGACTAAGCTAATGTGGCCCCTATTTTAAACATAGTCCCCTTTTATTATATTGAAGAAATTTAGCATCATTTTAGCGAATTACTCGCGCTGTCAGACCGACCTAAATGGACGCAACCTGTTCAGAGTCATCTGAATAATTTCCAGCGTCGGAAAATCGACTTGGTATATTCTTAAACGTTGTACTTTTAGTCGGCATTAGCAGTGAACTTTGAAAGTCTCAGCAACAAGTCACAACCCATCCAAGAGACAAATGGAGACCGTCCCTTGATTAATTTCTGCTAAACCTTCCATCAAAGAATCTGATTAGGCTTCATGAAATCATTTCTGGAAGGCACATTCCTGGAGTAAGTCACAATAGATAAGTTACAAGTTTCGATAACGAAGAGAGTGTAAAGAAGTGTTGGCAAGAGTTGAATGTACTAGGACAGAATGAGAGCTTTCCCGACTGTTTAGCAGAAAGT